CTTTTACTCTGCGATATATATATATATATATATATATATATATATATATATATATATATATATATATATATATATATATATATATATATATCGCATATATATATGAATTTGGACCTCAGTTTGATTTACTAAATCAAAACGAAATATACCTGAACACATGCGTTTAAAATGAACAGCCATACTAGAGAAATTATTTTTGTAATACCATTAGTTTCATTGATTGTATTTGTATATCTAGTAATCTTTTAACTTTCTCAGATCTAGCATGCCAGTTGGTGATCCAAGACAAGATGGCAGCCTTTCTCAAGGACACGAAGCTGAATCCTTTTTACGTCGATGTAGGTCAAGTCATAGGCTGTTTACGCCATACACCTGTAAAATTATTATAATTATATTATTAGGTGAATTGTGTAAATTAGAAATATAAAAGAAATCACACACACGGTAGGTAACATACGCTCATAGGCCCACATTCTTCTCCACACAGGCGGATCCATTTTTGATGGTACAGCTCCAACCTGGGTGGCACTTTCGTTTGTTTACCCTTATAAAAGAATGTTGTACAAATACATATGCTTAAAAAAGTTTCCTGCCACGAGCTGATTGTTTTTTTTTTAAATTATTGAACATAATTATTGTTTCAGGGATACAAAAACCGGAATGCTTACCTTGTTCACACTGGTAAGTGACTGTGTAACTTTTATGGAGTTACGAATTATTTAATGACCAATTCAAATTTTAGAATATTTTCCTAAGGCAGAAAATGAACAATCATTTTCATTTAATTTCATTAATTTTTAAATTTTGTCCTTTTTTCAATGTTGCATTATTCTGCATTCATTTTTTCACACCCTATACGGCTATTTCGTGTTCTGTCCTTTTTTTCTCATTTATATAAGTTTACGCCAAACTATTACATACGTCATCCCTCCCTGTAGTGCCGAGCCTATGTACGTGCTCTCAAACTTTCATAGATTTTTTTATAAGGGATGACATTAAAGCATTTTAAATATGACATATCTATGTTATTAAATGGTTGTGACTCACAATAGTTGTTTTATGTTGATACATGCACTTAGTTTATATCACACCTAGCAAATTCCTTTTCTTTGCTTTATGAAGGATATTGTGGTTATCTTTTCCAGCTCCTACGAGAGAAACTTTGGAATCTTTCTGGGATTTGGTATGGACCCACGGCTGTCAGTGCATCCTTACACTAACCCCTTCCTTTGATTACAGTGGGGTACGTTGTACACATGAAATGATGTATAAGCATGTGCAGGTCTCACTTTGAGTGTAACTTAGTCTATAATAGATGATTAATTTCCTTAAAAGCTATGTGTCCAAACGCTATTAAATATTGAATGGGGAAATTTTGTATTAATGCAAAGGTTTAACCCATTTAACTAACACCACAAGATTACTCTCAAAGCGTCGCCTAAAGATCAAGTTGAAGTTTTGCCGCCGACATTGAACAGTGTTTTGACAGGATAGACAAAAAGAAACAGTCACAAAAAATAACTGAAATTTTATATATGTCCGGTAAAGAACTCGTCTTGGATATTTCATTCGGTGTTCTGTATGGCATGCTAGTTTTTCACCTTTTACCGCTTCAGATTTTATGTTGTGAATACTGGCACGTGGCCACTGCGGGGGGTTATCACGTGGAGATTCAGAACACTGTGACACGCGCAGACTGGATAAAGCGAACCATCAGCGTAAGAAAGGTACATGCCAGTAATTTCAGTTATCCTTTATTTGATTGTAGTTCATTATGCCTCTAAGTGGGCTCCATAAATACTTTGTCAGTGATTTCACATAAGATAATGGTTATAGATTTTACCTATAACGAATTAATATCTATTCAGAATGACTGCGACCAGGAGAGACGCATACAACACTATCAGGCGAAGAGCTGGGAGCGCCACAGATGCCCCGACCCGATTCTCTTGTTAAACATCCGGAGAGAAGTTAACCTGTCAATGTCACACGAATCCCCAAAAGGACAAGTCACCCCGCTGTTGGTGCACGAAGCGTATGTCAAACTGTAACCCGTCGCCTTGGGTGGCACGCCTCTTTCCTGTCGTGGCACTTCTTCATACTGTATATATACTGCCATTATAGTAAAAACTCCAACGTTTATTTACTGGTCTTCTTTATTCTCTTACAAACGTAGAAAATTATACCGTGCTTGGTTTTCTATGCACTGGTCACGCTATTACTACTGCTTTAGCCCTATCTGTTAATCTTCCATTCTATTTTGTCAATCAAATATTCAACATTTCCTTATTAGGCAATATCTTTAAGTGGGTTAGGTACGTTAGGGTGCCCCCTTTTCTGGTTAGATAAAGCAAAATAAACATTGTCATGGAAGACAGATGTCTTTCTAAACGACTGGCCTATTATTTAAAACTAAACTGTTAAATTAAAAATTGGATGAAAAATTCAAATGCAGGGAGGGGTCAAGTAATGATTCGTGAGAAGGAGAAAATCGCTATTCTAGAAGAATTCATTTTGACGATAAGCACTTTGCCACCCTGTGTGCAGAAGAGCGTGTGGTGGTGCTCTAAAGTATTTGTTTTCATTGCACTAATATCAAAACAAGTATTTTGCATAAAAGAAACGGGAAAAAGCTATTTTGTTAATGTATGCCTATGACGTATCGAACTCCCTTGAGTATTGCAGTACGCACCTTCTAACACTAAATTCCTGTAATACATTTTTGCAGTATGTTCTTTTTGAAAGTTAACATAATCCCACTTGTAGCTGGAATATTACTCTTCTAAGTAGTCAGTTTACAATATTTTGTCATATATATATTGAATAACGTAACATTATCATAAAATCATCATCACAGAAAAGTAGGATTTATTTTGTATTTCTATAACAGTGCTATTACATCTCGAAACTGTAAAAATATCTAAAATTATATAGTTTATCTGAATATTATCCCATATGTTGATTTTTGAATCTGTGATGAACTTTCAGGTTCAACTCGATTGACAAGGTTGGCGCCTACATCGCTGTGGACGCAATCTTGGAGCGAATGGACGCCACCAAGAGCGTCCAGATCTTTAACGCCGTTGCCTATCTTCGGAAGAAAAACCCAAGAATGCTGGAAACATTAGTAAGCCTTTAAGTGATTCTTTACTTTTAACTGTTTTAAAAATATTGTCAAAAGGTACAGAAAGGGCTACGTTGACTGCTGGTGGGAGGATAGAAAAAAAACTTGAATTTAATTAATCAAAAATCATCCCCTTCAATTCAATAAAAATGTTTTGTATACCGCCGATGGTTATTCACAAAGTTTCGATATTGTCTATAACGTAGAAGCATTTTTTCTTTGATAACAAATGGTTTCCTTTTTTTAGCAAAACTACCAATTTGTTTATGCCACAGTTGCCACCCATGCTGTATGTGACGACACTACTGTTCAACGAAAAGATCTTGTTGGAGTGACAAAGTTTTTAGCATGGAAGTCTCCAGGCTGGAGCAAGACAGGATTTTCGAAGGAATTTAAGGTACCGGTTGAAGAAAATGTATAAATACTCACATTGTTAAAACGGCCTACCTCACTTAAACGTATTCATATCACGTTCAAAAACTACTTTACAGGTCTAAATATACTAAATATAAGCGAGATGATGTGTTATACTTCAAGAGAGGAATAAAAAGAATTAAAAGAGTCAGTGGACTCAAATGTTTCAACAATTTCTGTTTAATACAATTGTGTCTCAGCTGCTGACCTCCCTGACCCCAGCCCTGACCAGTGGCGAGTGTGCGGCCGGATTCAGAAGTGAAAACTTGCACAAGAACAGGAATTCAGTACTGCTGCCTCGTAAGTTTATCTACTTGGTGATCTATACTGGTATATACTGTTTATCTATATTTAAACTATGTAGGCATACTCGTTTGAAGCATGTTGTTTACTAACGTATTTGTTCATTGGATTCTTTTTTATTTTCTTGGCATGTTATCAATCCATATTTTTGTTTCCACTCGTTTATCTACATGTATTTCTCACAAAGTTTGTAACCGCGTGAGAAAATAATTTGCAATAAAGTGTATTCACTGTTTTTACTTTCTTGTCTGTGTGGCCTAGGGATAGTTTGATTTCTATCAAGAACGAGATACCAACCAGCACTGTTAATTTTGAAAGAAATAAGAATATTGGTCTGGGAAAAAAATTTTGACACGTCGTGTAAATCAATGGGAAGGGTTGGGTTGACAATAGGTATTATATTATATTATATTATATTATATTATATTATATTATATTATATTATATTATTATTTTGTATATAGTATTTTGAATGGCCTTATATACAGGGTTACCACTTAATATGGAATATTATTTTTGGCGAGTAAATTATCTACAAAATATTTAATTTCTCTCTAACTACTTTAAATCCAAAGCTGAGGTGTCACTCCATGTGTAGCCAGGTGTGTTACCTAATTACCACACAACTCTCGAAACAATTGATGCATGCAGTTGCATGTTCTGTGGTCAGAAATGTGAGGGGTGGTCTTTTCGGTAATTTCTGCCCTTGGATAAAAACGCGTGGGTTTGGTCTATCTTTGGAGTGTGTTTAGAGAAGCAACAAAGGGATCGCTCTGAAACTTGACAGGTACATTAGTGAAGATATGGTTCGACAGCTAAGCAACGCAGCTTACTATGGGATTCTTGCTCTCAGAGAAAATGGCCAGAAACGGACAGCCATTGCCAGGTAATTCAACATTTATCAGGAACCGTTTGTGAAGTCCTCCAAAGAATTGCTACAACAGGGGCACCTACTCCAATTCCTCGACCAGGGTGTCCGCGTATCACACGAAGAAGACAGGATCGCCTTCTCCTTAGAGGACGCCATGCTGGTCGTACAAAGACAAACAGTGTCCTCAGAAAAGAGAGGCAGAGTGTCATGCAAACGCCCGTTTCAAGGTCCCTCGTGAACAAGAGATTATTGCAAGCCGGTTATTTTGCACAAAGGCCACTAGGGAAACCACTGTTAACAGCAGGTCATAAACAGCGACGTCTGAAATGGGCTGGGGACCACGTGCGTTTGCAGCCAAAACACTGGAATCACGTCGTTTTCAGTGATGAGGCCAGATATGGATTTTTTAGGGTTGATCGTCGAATTCGTGTCCACCGACGTGTACGAGGGGCATAAAACGATGATTGTGTACTGCCTAGGGTGCAAGCAGGGTATGGTAAGGTCTCTGTTTGGGGAGCATTTCATGTCGGTGCCCAGAACCAGTTGGTTTTTCTAGGAGGCAACCTCATCCAGGATTCCTACAGAAACATTCTACAGCAAACAATGCTTCGATTGGTAAGAGTCATCTTCAGGAACAACTTTGTGTACCAAGACGACTGCGCAACCCCACATCGAGGCCGCAGAATCACTGTTTTTCTTCAAAACCAATGGGTTCAGCAACTGCCCTGGCCTGCAAACTCTCCAGATATTAACCCAAATGAAAATCTGTGGGCGGAAGTAACTCACAGAATTAATAGCTATGGTCTTCGGCCGGTAAATAGTGATGAACTACGACAGGCAAATATCACTGCGTGGAATGATATCCCCATCCAAAATCTAAAAAACGTGTCACACGGTATGCCATGTAGGATGAGGGCGCTGCAAGCGGCTGCTGGAGGTCATACCCGCAATTACTGACTTTTCATGATTTACTGTAGTGAGTTCTTTGACTGTGTAACATATCACTGCCCGGAGGCTATCATTTTCTTTAATATCTTATCTTAAAGTTTATACTGACATCAAACTGTTGATATGGTTTTCTGGGGGTGTTCCTTTCTTTTGAATGGCATCTTATGTCATATTTAATATTATTGACCAAAATATCTCAAAACAGAAGACTGGATGTTATTATCACTCAGTGATATACTTTTTTAGTGACTTAAGCCAAAAAAAATTAATCAGCACTCAAAAATAACAATGATAAAAAATATTCAATATTAAGTAGCAACCCTGTATGTTTTAGAATATACTGCCAGAAAAAAATGTGAGTATTCAGCTTTAAACTAGTGACTTTCTATCGAGATATCTTTGCATGCAAGCTAAGCTTTCTATTTCAGCTGACAGATGCCGACCCTATTTAAAAGACGATTCAGTTAGTAGTCATAGTGATTACATCAATGCAGTTTACATTAACGTGAGTATGTTATGACGAGGGGAGTAATAATAACAGATATCGTTGGCAGTTTATGTGCTTGTATAAGGTCCCTTTACACTGGACGGGTCCTTTCTGCATCCTTCAGCGAATTCTTGATCAATCGGGAATTCATGGCAAAATTTTTGAGCTGTTCAAAATTTTGGCCACGAATTCCCGATTCCAAAAAATCGTAGTGAATTTTTTGACAATATTCGTGCGATTACGGCCGAATCCAACGAATATTCGTAACACTATCGCACCTGTATCGTAGAGCGGGTCGAATTAGCCAGAAAATTTGCAAAATCTCACGAATCCTCACGAATCCTGAATTTTTTCAATTCCTGGCGATTCGTGGGGTTCGTGGTCTGTGTGAAATAGGGGCATAATCGAGACAAGATTTAATTGTGTAAAGGCCCTATTTCACACAGACCACGAATCCCACGAATGGCCATGAACTGACAAATTTCACCATTCGTGGTTGAATCGTAATCAGTTCGTGAAGTTCTTAACAGATTCGTATCTATTCTTAGTCAGTTCTTGCACTTCTTGACCAACAGGAATGGGTGGCAAAAACTTTGATTCCCCTATTTCACACAGACCACGAATCCCACGAATCGCCAGGAATTGAAAATTTGGTTGAATCGTAATCAGTTCGTGAAGTTCTTAACAGATTCGTATATAATCGTAGTAAGTTCTTGCAATTCTTGATCAATCGGGAATTCGTGGAAAAAATTTTGAGCTGTTCATAGTTTTGGCCACGAACTCCCGATTCCAAAAAATCGTAGTGAATTTCTGGACAATATTCGTGCGATTCCAGCCGAATCCCACGAATATTCGTAACACTATCGCATCTGTATCGTAACTGAATCGTAGAGCGTGTCGAATTAGACCAGAAAATTGGCAAAATCTCACGATTCCAGCCGAATCCCACGAATATTCGTAACACTATCGTACCTGTATCGTAAGTGAATCGTTAGCGTGTCGAATAAGACCAGAAAATTGGCAAAATCTCACGAATCCTCACGAATCCTAAAATTTGTCAATTCCTGGCGATTCGTGGGATTCGTGGTCTGTGTGAAATAGGGCCTTAAAGCATCTGCGTTCCTTGTGCGTCCTTTGAACGACCGAACCTTGATTTTACCTGTAAAACTGCGAGCGACCTGCCTGCCTCCTTTGTACGAGGCAGGCAAATAAATGGGAATAAACGCTTTAAACTAACTCATATACTACATATGTAAACATATATAATTGTATATCCATATATATATATTGTGTAAATTTTGTAGTCTAGAGGGCCTGCAAATGTATTCACATCATTTAGTGCTCAATAAACTTATTATTACGTATTATTATGTATGTACGTCCCCTGTGCAACCCACGGCGTCCATTGCGATGTTTGAGCGACCATTGAGCATCTTGCTGCATTCTCTGTACCTTCATTGGCTAATAGTGGCGTCCATTCTACGATCATTCTGCATCCTGCTTAACCGACGAGCGTTGTTTGGGCGTCCTTCTCTATATTCTAACTCATATTTTTTTCATCGGTTCTAAACAGGTCATCCAATTAATAATATTTCCAGGAAACAAAACAAATAAATGGGAATAAACGCTTTAAACTATAGTGATGCAAGGTTTGCATGGACTGATAATCAGCCAGATGCTCATTGTTATCCTTATAAGGATGGACAGGCGCCGAAAACGAGAAAGTATGACTGACACAACATAGAATGTTTGAATCCGTTTTCAGATGACGCATTCTGCAAAAAGTAATGACAAGTACTGCATCTTGTAAAAAAGGCAAAACATTCGTTTTTTAATAACCTCCTAAAATGGATCAGTTCATGAATTTTAGGGGAAAAACAATCGGAGGCTGATAAGAGACCACTGTTGCCCTTAGAATTCCTGTCTGGTAAAAAATACTTCAGCACGACCCCGTTTGAGAGTGAAAAAAAAAATGTTCTACGTGCCGAAGACTGGACGATCTTTGAGTTTTCGTTCTGCTCCAAAGCGCTGCTTGTGCCTTCTTTCTACGACCGCGGCGATGCTTGTGCGTCCTCTCTGCGACCACGGCGATGCTTGTGCGTCCTTTCTGCGTCCATTGAGCGACCTTGCAGCGTCCATCCTCCATCGCGTTCTCTCTGCGATTATTTTGAACATGACCAAAACTTCGCCGCGTCCATGGCGTCGAAAAACATACAGTTTATCACGTTTGGACACGA